TCCTATTGTACATGAGATGCAAATCTCCAGGTGTATGCGACTTTTCCCAACTCTGCGTATATCTGTCGCGTCAATTTGCACAAGAGAAGAGAAGGCATTCAACCAGGTAAGAATACAGTAACCCGCCAGACGAGGTTACAGAAGAGCAGGTCATCATCGGTGATCGAGGATGAGAAAAGCTCAGAGATATCTCTTCTCATAGATCTCTTCGTAGCACTGGATGTGATCACCCACAGCAAAGTCGGCCCAGCCTTCGAAGCCGATACCACATTCCGTGTCTTTGCGCATTTCGGTCACGTCCTTCTTGACGTTCTTCAGCGACGCAATCGTGCCTATACATTCAGTCAGTTATGATGCCTTCAACCGTGACGAGCCTCAAATGAATAAACATACCATCATAGATCGTGTCTTGTCCCCTCAACACCCGGACCTTCCTAGCACGGTGGATCACACCATTACGGACTTTGCATCCCGCAATAGCAACCTTCTCTCTTCCCTTGCGGGTGATCTCGAAGATCTGACCGACTTCTGCTTCACCTGTGACACGCTGTGTGACCGATGGCGCCAGATGCTCACTGAGCGTCGCCTTGACTTCATCCATGAGCTTGTAGATAATGTTGTGATTCATGATCCTGACCCCTCGCAGTTCCGCCATCCGGGACATGGCAGGGTCGATCGGCATATTGAAAGAGATGATGTTGCCGCTTGCTGTGGCCGCATGCTCAATGTCAAACTCACTGATGGGCCCAACCTCGGAGCGAAGCACATTGGCGTAGACTTCGTTGTTGCCAATGGCCGTCACAGAATTGAGCACCGCCTCGGCGGAACCGCCAACATCGGCCTTGATGATGAAATGCACCGGTTTGGGTCCGGATGCATCCTGGTCAGCAAGAACTTCTGCTCCTTCGTTCTCCTCTTGCCGTCGCTTTTCTTGCTGTTCTCGGCGTGCTTCGTTGATGGCCGATGTGTCCTCGCTCAATTTCAGAGTCTCCGACTTCTCCTGGCGGTACTCTACGACGTCCTTGGCATGCTGCTCGTCCTCCGCCTGAAGAAGCTCGGTACCAGCGGTGGGCTGCTCCCTCCAACCATCAATTTCCACAGGCGTGCCGGGAGTAGCTTCGGAGACGGCGACACCGGCTTCATTGCGAAGCGTGCGAACGCGAGCCCATGTTGTGCCAGCAACGATGATATCTCCCGGTCGCAGGGTACCACGTCTGATGAGAGCCGTCGCAACACGTCCATAGCTCTTCGTTGTAGCTTCAATCACCCAGCCTTCCACCGCACCAGCTTTGTCGGCTCGATGGTCAAGAACTTCCGAGAGGGTGACGATAGCCTCCTCGAGCTCCAACATGCCCTGGCCGGTTTTTCCGCTCACCCCGATAGCTTGGACATCGCCCCCGTAGTCTTCCACGTGGACACCATGTACGGATAGGTCCTGCTTGACCTTTTCTGGGTTGATACCTTCTTTGTCGATTTTGCTGATAGCGACAATGATGGGAACATTGGATTCGGTGGCGTGCTTGATGGCCTCAATAGTCTGTGGTTTGACACTGTCGTCCGCAGCAACCACCAGCACAACAATGTCAGTTACATTCGCACCGCGACGACGCATATCCAAGAAGGCTGCGTGGCCAGGAGTGTCCAAAAAGGTGATAGTTTTGCCCGAAGGCATAGCTACGGAGAATGCACCAATGTGCTGTGTGATACCCCCGTGCTCCGATGCGGCCACAGACGACTTTCGGAGCCAGTCCAAAATGGTGGTCTTGCCGTGATCGACGTGACCCATAATCGTCACTACCGGTGGCCTAGGCGGCAATGCGGACTTGTCTTCTGGCTCGGGAGCAGCAACCAGGTCCTGATCATCGGTCTCGAAGATAGGTTCGAAGTTGTACTCGCTCGCGATCAAGCCTGCTGTTTCAGCATCAAGAATATGGCTGTACGAGACATCTTCAAATCCCATTTCCTCCATCCTCCGAACGAATTGTGCAGGCCGCACACCGATGACATCAGCGAGGTTACTGACGCTGATGAATTCTGGAAGGTAGAGAGGACTGGGAGCCGCCGCCTCGAGCTCCTTCTGCCGGGCCTTCTCTTTCTTCTGGCGCTTACGATCCTGGCGGCGACGGCGGCGGTCGTCTTCTGGGTCAAATTCTTCGTCGTCAACATCATCTCCTAGTTCCTTGCGACCTTCCCACCGCTTGGGCTTTTGCCCACTCTGAGCTTCTGCCTCGTATGTCTGTTGAAGTTTCTCCAGAGCTGACTGGTCCCATGTCCATAAGTCTGCCTCCGCTTTGGATGATTTGCGCCCTGCTCCAGAAGCTTGGCGGTCGGCACCGCTGCTTTCTGTAACCTTATCCCTAGCATTCGACAGTCGCTGTTCTGCCATTGACTGCGTCTCTGATTCTGTTGATGCAGGTGGAGATTCGGTCTTGCGTCCTGTCTCCGCAAGGTAGTTATCAAGCGCGATGTTTCTCGAACCTCCGGGCTTTGGGATCAATTCCCCGAGACGGCGTCCCGAGCGTACATAATCCAAATGCAACGACTGGCCGAGCCTCCGAATGTTTAAGGCGTTCTGTTCTTGTTTGATCCGACGAGGCGACTCCGGGGCTGGTGCGTCCAATTTCGGCTTTGGGGCACCACAGCGTGGGCAGGTGCTGGCTCTCCCGAAACAATGGTACTGGCATCGTGGGCATTCCCAATCCTTCCCTCGAAATTTTTTCGCTGATCTGCTCGAAGCTACATCGACCTTCTTCTCTGGCTGGCGCTCCCGTAACGAAGCGGAATTTTGCCTCGTTCCAGAAACATCGAGCACTCGTACCAAATCGTCCGGCTTTTCATGTAGCGCAAGCCCCTGCCGTCGTTGTTTCTCCACCCCTTTCTCCTTCGCGGCGGCTTCCTTCTTTGCTATCAACGAATCGCGAAGCGCTTGTTCCGCCGGACTCAATGTGGCCGGTTTAAGCGCCTGCTTAGCTCCCCAGCGACCACCAAGTTTCGAACCTCCCCATGCTGGACGGGGTACCGACCCATCTTCGCTGGGATTCGCTGACTCGGACGACGATTCAAGGACCGCGAGGGATGAGCGAAAGCTCCGTCGGGGAACATAGGCTGGTATCGGAGCAGAAGCAGATTTCCTGGACCTGGCTGGGCAAGACCATTCGGGCCCGTGACGGCGAGAGAGCTGTGATGTTTCTGGATTAGAATCATAATCGAAGATTACAGTCAAGATGACTTACCTCTACCACTAACCTCCTATGCATAATTCGATGGAAGAGATCATACCCTCTCTCTCTCCAGCACTGGCTATGATAGTCGGAGTCTTTCCCTCGGGGGTCAAATTTCCAGACGATACACGGTTACATACCCGGTAAATGAAATACGCGTTTCCAGACTTTTGTTTCCCGCGCACGAGGTCACGTGCGTCGGCGTATCTGCCGAATCGGAGGCGAAGATGTGGAGGGCTGCAGTGGAGAGATTCCACCATTCCGCCCCGATAAGAGGTGCTAGGATCTTTTATATCCCTTGGGAGTTTCCTCTGGTCCTCCGGGGAAGTGAGACAAATCCTCTATTCACGCGCCGAACCATCTTGTGGCTGATAACCCGCGCCAATTGCCGCTGAGTCCTATCGCAGATCAACTCGGGTCAATTGCTACGCCAAGATGGAATCGGAGGCTTTTGAGGACATGCAAAAGGGCGGAGGAGCTCTGCGCACCCTCAAGGATCTGTCTGCTGGTGCTGCGGGCGGCATTGCTCAGGTGCTTCTTGGTATGTAGATATCACGTCTAATCAATTGTACGCGCTTGCGATACTAACGGCTTATAGGACAGCCTTTTGGTGGGTGAACCAGAGACTCACAGATAGAGTCAAACCTTGGTTAACACTTGTCAGATATTGTCAAGGTGCGGTTACAGACAACGTCAGAGTACAAAAGCGCTCTAGACTGCGCCACGAGAATCTTCAAGAATGAGGGTCCCTTGGCTTTCTACAAGGGGACTTTGACCCCGCTCATTGGTATCGGCGCCTGTGTAAGACTATAGATTCAACTCCTTGACATTTGCTGGCAAGAAGAACTCATATCCTGCAGGTCAGCGTACAATTCGGTGCGTTTCATGAAGCCAGAAGACGGCTGGAGGAGCTCAACAAGAAGAAGTATGCCGATCCGACCCTCTCCTACGGCCAGTACTATCTGGCCGGAAGTTTCGCGGGTCTCACCAACTCCGCCCTCTCGGGACCCATTGAGCACGTCCGTATCCGCCTGCAGACGCAACCTCACGGCGAGGGCCGCTTGTACAGCGGACCCCTCGACTGCATCCGGAAACTCGTTGCTCAGGGAGGCGTGCTGCGCGGTCTCTACAGGGGCCAGAACGTCACGTATTTCAGAGAAGCGCAGGCCTACGGTACCTGGTTTCTGACCTTCGAGTACCTGATGAACCAGGACGCCAAGCGCAACAACATCAAGCGCGAGGAGATCTCCAGCATCAAGGTCGCGACCTACGGTGGTCTTGCCGGTGAGGTCCTGTGGCTGAGTAGCTACCCCTTCGACGTGGTCAAGAGTAAGATGCAGTGCGACGGATTCGGTGCGCAGCAGCAATACAAGAGCATGACCGACTGTTTCAAGAAGACCTTTGCCGCGGAGGGCTTCGGCGGCTTCTGGAAGGGCCTGGGGCCGACTCTACTGAGAGCTATGCCCGTGTCTGCGGGTACCTTTGCTGTGTACGTTCCTCTTACGTCGTCGATATGATTTCCGTGCTGACTTGTTACAGTGTTGAGCTCACCATGAGAGCATTGGGCTAGACATGCCTATCTCGTCGTGTTTTGCCGTTGTTTCTTCAGTTAGATATCCAGGTCTCGTTCATTTCAACATGAGATTGAAGGAAAAGTTTCGTGAGGTAGATAGAGGATGTTTATACTTATTCATATCTGGGCATTTATATGTACATGGTCGAACGATAATGAGACTCGGAACGATTCCCCCACACTGATTAATCCTCAAGTGGTATCAACTAGATCGCCAATGAAAAATCCCCAAAGAAATCCTGCCACGCGGTAGGAAAATAGAACAGATTCAGGCCTGGAAAATCCCACTCGGTCACAAACTGCTCGGGCACAAACGACTGCAGATCTGCCTGCGCATCGAACAGCTCCCAGAAGGGAACCATGGCCGCCTGGTCGACATCCATCCCGCTCTCCTGTACAGCCCGCCCGTATTTCTCGACGCTGATCTTGAGAATCTGCAGGTAGATCTTACTACTGCCGTTCGTGTTGCCGTGGGAGTCCGCACTCTTGGTCAGTTCACTGAGCAGTCGGTTCCCGTGCTCGAGGAGCTCCTGGTGTTCTTCTTTTCGTTCTGGCAGGAGACGGGAGAGCTTGAGGAGGAGAAGGAAGCAGAAGGCACACTTAGCCCAGACAAAGTCCATGGCGTATTTGAGTTTCGCGAGGTAGAAGTCCGGCTCGCTGCTGATCAGGCGCAGGTGTTTGCGGGCGCTTGCCTTGGCCATGACGAGGATATGTCGCTCGGAGGGAGACATTGCCCTGTCGGATGTTAGCTGACGAGCGGGGGAATTTAGTTCGAAAAAACGTACGCAACGTTCTCTACGCCCATTGATCGCAGCGCCTTGCAGTAAAGCATCATCTCGGCCCAGCATTTCTGTACGCGCAGTGCGAGTAGGAGGAACGGCTTTTCCGCTTCGGCGGGGATCGAGTCTTCTGTTGACGGTGAGCCATGTGCATTATACGTAGCTGGCGACAATGAGCTTACCGATGATGCGTAACCAATCACTAAGACCAGTCAGTATATCACACCTTTGAGTTGAGAGGAGAGGATACGAACTCGAACCAGAGATCAAGTTCAACCTTGACCTCTTGCACGAAACCAGCGATGTCTGAGCGAATGAGAGTCTCTTTGCCGCTCAAGGTATCGTTGATACTGGCTGCTGAGGATCAGTTAATAGTTTCAGAACATAGGTTGAATCAGTTAAAATACCTCTGATGGCGTTTAGCTGTAATGACGGTCAGCTAGTTCACAGTAAAGAGTTTTTCCGTTGACCTACCTCAACTTGAGAGAACAGACGCAAATCCAGAACAGTCGATGAAGGATGTTTGAGCAAAGTTCGACACCGACGTGAGTTCCCAAGCAATCGGATGCCCGGCGGTTTGCCGCCATCGACACGAAAACTAGACGGTGATCGTCAAATCCATCCGTCCGACATCGATCAAGAGCAGCTTACATGTGCTCCAAGACCAGTAGCCCGAACCAGGTTCTGGACTTTCGCATCAACCCGCGCTCTTCCTCTGTAGAACCAGAAGTTCCATAAAAGTCCTCAACTTCTTTCATCGACATAAGCTGGGTCAGTTCCTCAAAAGCTTCGTCCAGGTCCAGATCTAACGCCATTCGAGTCGCGAAGGATAATATCAACGAGCGCTCCGTAGAATAGCAGGCAACAACGAGCAATGCTTGGACAGACTCCAAGCAATTTAACCTCTTGTTTTGGATGATGACGTTAATCCATTTCTTGAGCTCTGCGTGCAGTATATCGGATATCTGAGGACTGAACCCTAACATATGTTAGCAAGCGCCTTCACCAGATATAAAGCAAGATTGGTAGTTACTGGGTTCGATGCGGCTTCCTATCGTGCAGATAGCGTTGAGTAGGATGCTGCTTCGCGAGCGCACCGAATCGAAGGTGTCGTACTCGGGATCGAATACCGGGATATACCTGTCCTGTTTATGGCAATGTACGTATTAGCAAGGCAGGATGAAGATACGGATCTACCGCAATACATACGCAACCTTGGAAAAATCTGTATCATCTTTGGTTAGCAAATGATGGGACAAAACACGAATTCTTGCAAGAGATCTCACGTGTTGAAACAAGAAATGGCATGGTCTGGCGTCATCAGGCCCTTTGAGATAAAATCTGCAACTGGCTCGTCGCGTATCTCGAAGCCAGACCGTTTCCTCTTTGTCACACTACCTGCTTCTGTGATGATAGTTTGCATGCGAGAATGGGTAGAAACTTCTCCAGGGCTCGCAGCCAGCCCGTGTACCCCTGGCTGGTCGCCAGCTGGGGCATCTACATAATTAGCCCCAGGTAGTTGAGGCACAATGGTGGACCGAAGCATCATCTGAGAAGCAGGGGACATATGGCAATCTGGGCCTAGTCCATTAGGAGGCAGATGCTCTCTACGAGGCACCTGACCCTCAGCGACGGGAACTTGAGCGTCCGAATTTGAACATGTCTGCAGAAGATCACGTAGAGCATCCACTTGCTCTCTGAGATGCCGAACCTCAGCTTCGACATTTTCGAGTCTCCTGCGAAGGTGTCAGCTACATAGGAGTAGGCGTAAGACAAGTGCGAGCACATACTCCGTAGCAGGGTCCTTTAGCTTGTTGCACCTGCATACAATCAGCACCATCGATCTCCTAGCAATGAGTACCAGTGGTGGCAAATGGTACCTGGTGCAAGGCCTCTTCCCATCACATTTGACCTGGATACATCAGCGACTCGCCACAGAATGCCATAGGCAAAGGGAACATACCTTTGATGTTCTGCAAGCGCTACAGGCTCTCTAATTCATGTTGTCAGCTATATTGTCGCGTGTGCTCACGTTGGATAGGGAGAGGGAAAAATACCGGAATTCGCTTCTTACCCGGTGGAGCCGACACGACACGGGATGATGCATCTGAATCCATCGCAGGGTGAATACATATCACATATTCAGTAACATACTGGTAGCTACTAGTTGAATGCGGGAGAATCTGGGGAAATCAAGACTTCAGCGGAACAGTGTCGAGAAATAGACTCCGCGGGGTGACACCCTCGTTCGGGATTAAGCCGGCTCGGCAGTGTGTAGCATTCTTAGGTCTATGCTTAAATAGAACTGTGCGACGGGACATCTTCATACGGGCTGGGAAGAATCTACTCGGCATATGCTTCGGATTTAAGAAATATAAGACAAAAATTTAAGTCTGAATGAGCTCCTTCATGATCAAATTAGGCAATCATCATAAGCCGAGCGAGTTGTCATATCCATCCAACTAAATCAATAATACAAGTAGCAGATACCAACAACAAGACATGTATATAAATCAGAATACATAGACAAAGTCCTCGTTTTGCCAATCCGTAAGGTCTTTGAACGCATTGTCTTCCGTAGCAGACTGCTGGATAGGCACACCCTCCTTGTCTACTGGACCATCACCAACAGCGTACATCGAGTGATCAATGATTGCCGCATTCTTGCCCATTGAAACTCGCTTCTGGGAGTGCTTCTTGTTGAGAAACCAGAGATACACCAGGTTGATGCTAAACGTGAGGGTTAGAGCTTGAGTGCCGCAAAGGAGAAGGAGATAACTTACATGCAGAGAAGAACAAGTACGCAGAACATGGCGAGGCTGTTTTTCGTTAGTGTGCTGGAACAGGTCGGTGTGAGTCTCATTGCTTACTTGGAGAGCAGACCACGTCTGTAAAGTGGCGCTTCGGCGGTTGTGTAGAGAGTGGGACCAATGATCTGGGAAACATTAGCATGAGACTCTAGTGTCATTCTGCTGTAGGCACACGTACGTTGCCGACGCATTGTCCGACAATCAACAGGCCAGTCGTCACTTTCTTCTTCGTTTCACCGGCAGTGTTCGCAGCAGACCAGGAATAGACCATAGGTGCTAATGATTGGTCAGCTACAGTAAAAAGCATACCTCGTAGGAAACATACTGATGCCAGGGTAGACGGAAAGCTGGCTGTTGTTAGCGACACTCCTCAAGAAGGGTCTTCATGACTTACAATGTAATATCCAGCAAGCAGAACGCCCCGATGTTCCGCATCGTGCGCAATTTGCAGTAGCATTACGCAGCCAGCAATTGGCGGTAGACACAAGAGAATGACTATAGGCCCCTTCATTTTGATGAAGGTTGCCAGCCACGCTCCACCCATAGTGGCCACGAGCTGTACTGCACCGAACGGAATGTTGAAAAGAATCGTCTTGAACTGATCAAATCCAAAGGCCTTGATAATAAGAGGGCCGAAGGTGGATATGCCGCCGCTAGGGATCCTGCTTCGTGTGAGCCACATTCTCGGTATAATGAGTTCCTGGTCCTCTTACGAGATGGAAAACATCAGAGCAAACCAAACCCATGACTTCAGATCCAAGCAGGTCTCTTTCACATGGTCCCAGTTCCAGTGGTGAGTCTCGATTCCTTGCTGGTTCATGCGAAGTCTAAATCGTCGTTAGGACCAATGTGCCATAATGCTTGCGCGGAGATCTTCTGGTAGAATACCTTTCAATAGCGATCAGTTTGTCTTCCTCATTGAGAAATCTAGCACGAATGGGCGAGTCTGGCATATAAAGCCTGGACAATCCGCATTAGCAGCTTCCAACATTAGAGATGGTTGATCAGCATCTACTTACAGAACTACCACGGAGAACACGACGGTGATGAGGCCGAAAAATAGGAAGATAATCTATTTTGATAGTCAGTCATACGTTCATGAACGTTGCACAGACGCAGTATCACTGACCTGGTAGGGTTCGAAGACCGAAGAGGCGATATGTCCAAGGCCCCAAGTTATAAGACTGCCGAACTATTTGGTAAGATTTTAGTTAACACATCTCTAAAGAAAGCTTGAACGTTTTCAGATGCTAAACTTACCATAAACACCACACCATTCATGGCGTACCATGAGCCCAGTCGAACAGGCTGCTCGAGCCGACGATACCACATCTGTGTAACGGCGATGAAAGCGGGAGCTTCGCTCTCACAGTCAGTAATCAATAATGGATGCTGACAATAATATGAAAACACTCACCAACTCCGGCCTCAAACAGACCAAGGAACATCCGACAGACCAGCAAGCCTGGGAAGGTGTTCGCCGCCGTCATGCATGTCAACGAGACACCCCACAAAAGAGTGGTGGCGGCTAAGAACTTCCCCAGGGGGACCTTCACCAAGATGTAGGCGATAAGGGGCTGAGCAACAAGCTGCGCGACATAGACCACCGAGCCTAACCAAGAGTATTGCTTGCCATGGAGATTGGCTTTCTCGATCAAACCGAAAACTGAGGCATACGAGAGGGTCGACTTGTCGAGCTGTTGCAGGAAATAGATGCCCAAGAGGATAGGCAATAGCCTCAAGTCGATCTGTCGCAGAACTCGTGCGTTATTCTCTGCGGTAAGGACTGTCGAGTGGCCCACTTGCTCAATGAGCTGAAGGGCGTCATCTTTCTTTGTCTCGCTATGTTGCGTATGAGTTTGATTAGGGGCAGGATGGACTGTCTCAATCAGTTCCTCATCTCTGCCCTTACCGTGTGCCAGCTCTGCTCCTAGGGACATAGTTCCCTTGTGCTTCTCTGGCCTTGAATGAAGTTCCAGATGGGTGACGAATTCTTCACGTGCCTAAAGGGCCTAAAGACAAGGTAAGGAGAAAGGAAAGGGCGTGACTTTGATAGTATGCGTCGCCGAGGTCACTGTGGGATCTGCGAGCATACAAACTCGATTCCTTGACGACCTGTCATGTTGATCAAGGAGACCTTTTTATCCACCCAGGACCTATATATTAGAGAGTGAGGTATGGGGAACCCCGTGGGGAGATCCAACCCCGGACGACGCGACCCAAAACCGATGGCAATTGGCAGCGGAAAAACATAATTAGCTGGGTCTGCAAAGTCAATTGCGAGATCAAGGCCTCCTAGCCTTGGTTGCACATGGGAAACATGAAGCTAACCGCAGGATTGCACGGCATGACTCTTAGCGACGGGCAACCTCCGATGCCTCGTCCAATCAATCGAACGGGACTGGAAGGCTTCGAAGCGGGGCGAAGGTTCGTGTTAGTCTGGGGATATTTTAGTTTCGCATTTCGGCAGGAGACCCCGATGGCCAGATCAACCTGAAGAGTCACCAGATGAGACATATGGCGGAGAAGACGGCAATGGACCGACGAAGTTCTGCGGGGATGAAGAACGTCAACGGAGATGGAGGCCGAAGTCCGATCATATACTCAGTAGTGACACCACTCATAGGCTTATCCACCTTACCTTTTTCGAATGAGGGGATAATGAGGGGGAGCATTGAAATAGATATGATGTCGTCGTACTGTAGGCTTCTTCTCCTGTAGATTGATTCTCCGCGAGAGTTTTCCTGACTTGCTTCTTTCGAATCAATTGACCGAACTATAAGCAATCATGCCTCAAAAAGAATTCTGCCCCAAAGGCTACCAAGAACAGCCTTCAGGGAATACAGCGGCAGTCCCGTCAGTGCATCTGCGCTCAGGAAACTCGAAAGACCGTTCGTTTGATTTCTCATTCGAACCAATCCGTCAAAACCTTTTCCGTGTGACATTTTCCTCACGAGACCATCCTCTTCCTCCCTACCCGAGCATTTCGAAGCCAAAGACAGACCTCGACGGTGTTAAGGTATCTGCCACAGGTGGAGGTTCATCCAAGACAATTGAGGTCGGCGGCGTGACTGCCACTGTGGAATGGAGCAATACTCCAGTAGTCTCGTTGTCGTGGACCGGTGAAGAGAAGCCCCTTCACCGCGATCTGCCATTGCGCTCGTACGTGGCCGATGCAACCGGCATCGCGCACTATTCTGAGCACGACCGAAATGCCCTTCATGTTGGGCTGGGAGAGAAGAGGGCGCCCATGGATCTCACCGGGCGTCACTTCCAGCTTTCGGCGACAGACAGCTTCGGGTACGATGTTTACAACACAGATCCGTTGTATAAACACATCCCATTGCTCATCAAAGTGACTCCCGTTGGTTGTGTGGCCATCTTCTCAACAACACACGCTAGAGGGACGTGGTCAGTCGGTTCCGAAATCGACGGGCTCTGGGGTCACTTCAAGGTGTACCGTCAAGACTATGGGGGCCTCGAGCAGTACCTGATCGTAGGAAAGACGCTGAAAGATACCGTGAGGCAATATGCAGAGCTCCTTGGCTTCCCACTCCTTGTCCCTCGCTGGGCTTATGGCTACATCTCTGGCGGTTACAAGTACACCATGCTTGATGACCCCCCAGCGCACCAAGGACTCATGGAGTTCGCAGACAAGCTGAAGGAGCACGGCATTCCATGTTCTGCTCACCAGATGAGCTCCGGCTACTCAATTGCAGAGACAGAACCCAAGGTCCGCAATGTCTTCACCTGGAACAAGTATCGGTTCCCCAACCCCGAGGAGTGGATTAAGAAGTACCACGCTCGAGGAATCAGACTCCTTACAAACATCAAGCCCTTTGTGCTTGCGTCTCATCCAGATTACCAGAAGCTTGTCAGTGCCGGAGCACTGTTCAAGAAGCCTGATACTCAGGAACCAGGCACAATGAGACTATGGAGCGCAGGGGGTGCGACTGGCGGTGATGGATGCCACATTGATTTTACCTCCTCCTTCGCTTTCCGATGGTGGTATGAAGGTGTTCAGAGCCTGAAGCGAGCCGGAATCGATGGCATGTGGAACGACAACAACGAATATACGCTTCCCGATGATGAATGGCAACTGGCACTGGATGGATCAGTAGTCGCTGAACAGGTAAAGACACAGAGCGACAAATCCGTCGGGCTCTGGGGTCGCGCAATGCATACTGAGCTTATGGGCAAAGCCTCTCATGATGCTTTGGTCGACATGGAGCCTAAATACAGGCCATTCGTTCTCACAAGAAGCGCCACTGCTGGCACTCTTCGCTATGCAGCCAGCTCTTGGAGTGGAGACAATGTGACCAGTTGGGAGAGCATGAAAGGCGCAAACGCCTTATCATTAAACGCCGGTATTTCACTGTTGCAGGTAAGACCACCATAGCAGACTGAGCTGGGCGAACATTGCATGCTGACTTCTGATAGTGCTGCGGCCATGATATTGGTGGTTTCGAAGGTATGGCTCCTCCCTTGAAAAGTACTGATGAAAGACGACGAATCTGACCGTTTTTCCTCAATCAGGCCCTCAACCCTCTCCCGAACTCCTCCTCCGATGGGTCCAACTAGGTATCCATTCGCCTCGATTTGCCATCAACTGCTTCAAAACGTCGCCCGGAAACACCTCCGTCGGAGATGTCATTGAGCCCTGGATGTACCCCGAGATCACTCCGCTGGTCCGCGACACCATCAAGCGCCGCTATGAGATCCTCCCCTACATATACTCCTTTGGTCTGGAGAGCCATCTGACCGCTTCTCCGCCTCAGCGCTGGATCGGATGGGGTTACGAGTCCGATCCTGAGGTGTGGACCAAGGCCCTCAAGTCCGGAGAAGAACAGTTCTGGTTCGGTGAAACTATCCTCGTCGGAGGCGTGTACGAGCCCGGTGTAACCGTTGCGAAGATGTACCTTCCCCGTAAGGCGAACGATGAGTTCGACTTTGGGTATGTCAACATGAACTCGCCCTACACCTATTACGCCTCCGGTCAGTGGGTCGAGATCCCCTCTCAATGGAGAGAAAGCATCCCGCTTGTTGCGCGTATTGGTGGTGCCATTCCTGTTGGAAAGCCCGTTCAGACCAGAGTGCCTGGGGATGAGACCGAGGCTTCATTGGCGGTAGAGGAACTTGACGATTACAGAGGCGTTGAGATATTCCCTCCCAAGGGCACCTCTCATGGTCGCGTCTTCTCCTCTAGCTGGTTTGAGGATGACGGGATATCCCTGCAGCCTAAGATGTCAACATACACCATCAGCTACAGCTCGACGGAGGAGAAGGTGACTGTTGGATTCAAACGCGACGAAGAGAGCGGCTTTGTTCCCGCTTGGAAGGATTTGGATATCATCTTGCACAACGGCGATGAGAGACGTGTTGTGTCTGATGATGGCAGGCCTGTTGAATACAAGGGTAAAGACTCCCGAGGCCGCGTTGTTTATACCTTCAAGAATTAGATGCTACAGCGTGATGAGTCGCTCTGTATTTAAATAGCCGATACCCTGCAGTTGGTAATAAGGCTATGCACAAAAGTGAAAAGAAAGAAACAGAGGGCTTGGCGTTGCAGAATAGAAAGATAGAATAGTTTTAAGAGAATTCAAATTGACCTTCTTGGTGTATTTCTTCAAATTTCATGGTGCAACACCTGGCTGACACTCCAGCCCAAAGTTACCAGAAAACATGGATCCAGATTAGTACGGCCGCTTTCTTGAGAGGATAAAGGAAGATCCCCGGAAGTTGACTTGAATTGAAGCTGTTAATACAGATGATCGCACCCGGAAGTGAGAAAACTTTACATAGCTCTATACAATACAGTCCCTCAGTTGATCGAAATGTTGAACTTTGGGTATGAAATAACAAAATCTCACTAGGAGCCAACACAGATCATTGCTTGTTTTCGGCGGTCTCAGCCATATTCTCTGGAAGCTTGATGCCGAGCTCCTTCAGTGTAGGGAGTCTGTGTGTGATCCTGCCCTTCTTCGCCTCCTCAAGTCTCCGTGTTTGGCCTGCCTCTCCGGCTCTTCCCAGGACACCAGCAATGACAGCAACGGAACGCAAACTGTCATCATTCGCAGGAATGGGGTAAGTCACTTGAGTCGGGTCGGCATCCGTATCAATGATGCCGATGGTTGGAACATTGTTCAAGCCGCACTCGTGCAGCAAAACAACATTCTCAACGGGATTAAAGCACACCACAAGGTCCGGCTTGATGGCCGGCTGATCCGTCCGAAGATCCTTGAATTCCGGTAATTCTTCGTCAAACGCATTTACCACCTTGGTATCGCAATGGCCCAAGATCTGTTGTCCGTTGGTCAAGCTGCCAGGAATCCAACGCTCGAAAATGTGGTAGCCTTTGGCCAGCTCCGCGGCCCGGACAACTGCCCGTTTCTGGCCCTTTCGTGTGCCGACGAAAAGAATCAATCCGCCCCGGGCAGAAACCTCTTCCACAACCTTGGCTGCACGCCGCAAGTACGCTGCAGTTATATCGAGCGAAATAATATGAACACCTTCTCGAATACCAAAGATATAGCGCGAGTTCTGCGGGTTCCAGCGAGAAGTAGAATGGCCGAGGTGTGTTTGAGATGCGAGGAGCAATTCTAGGGTGATATCGGAGGGCCGAGGGGGATTTCGGATCAGATCTTCTGGTTGGTATGCGACTGCTACATCACTGCCAAGGGCGTGAAATTTCTGTCCTGCAAGGGTATAAAGTCAGAACTCCAGCAGGTGTTGGAGGAAGGTTGTTCGTTCTCGCTCACTTTGCACTTCGCGCTTGCGCCACGCCTCCTTGGCTGACAATGCTACTGATCCTGACTCATTCACGGCGCTGGCAGATGAAGCCGGCTGCTGCGTTACTTCTTTTGCGGGGGTTTGTTGTGCGGTTTCGACAGGAGTTCCTGTCGATGAGAATCGGCTCAAGATGCGAGTCTGTCGGTTGAGAGCAAATTGGCGGCCTGCAGAAGACTGATTAGCAACAGATTCAAATGCTATTCTATCAAAGTATTAGGAATTGGAGCATACTCTGCCGCAAGCATAATTGTCGAACAATCATTTCGAATTATGCTGAATTAGAAGGTTGAGCTGCTCCGTATGCGAAATGCTCAGTTTCCAGCCGATCGAACTTTTGATGTCGGGCTTGGCGGATGTTTGGGCCTGAGGCACACAGTGTGTATGCTAGTCCATTTTGGGGGGATTCCACTCTTCACGATTTCCATACTCGGAATTACAGCAATACTGGGTACATTTGGTTAGAAGAAAAGCTTGAAAGACAGTACTTCGTATATAAAGGCTCATACTGTCTGTCTGTCATGTCTATTGCATGGCTAGCAGTGGGCTGTCCCAACAGACATTACCATTGACAAGAAATGTTTTCGGGGACGCTTTTTCCTTCGTTCTCAACTGAGCCAGCGGGTACTTCAGATCAGGACAAGAAGAGGTGAAGTCCCGAATCCTCAAGCAATTATCGGCCGGCTATCAAGCCTAACAAGCTGACCGGTTTATCTCGCGATGAAGCTATGGTCAGGCGCCTCGAGAGTCATGTCGACACCGCCAGTACTACTATGACATTCAAGTCACCTACAAAGACTGCAGTCGATACTCAGATCTGAGTGAACCGTTAGCATCTCAGGTCAAGCTTAAGCTCATTCGGTAGATAAACATCTAGGCCGCTTGTGATCGACGAAACCAATAGCTACAATGTTAGCAATGTTCTTTGGCCTGCATTGACCAAATCAATCAGCATCGCTCACGTTACTCTGGCACAATACACGGTCTACAAAGTCCTCGTCTTCAATGTGCAGATCGAAACAAATTAAATCTAGTCATCGGCCGTCAAGCAAAGTGCCTCATATCATCATATGCAACATCGGTATCAAGACAAAACAAGGGAAGCAACAGCAAGTCATCCTCGTGCAGGTCAAAGTCATCAAATAAGAAAACAAAAAGAAACTCCCAAAAATTGACTAAGCTTGCGGTACTCTGTGCCGGCTCAGCGGAGGACGACCCAAGAAATCTATTTCTTGTTGAAGAAACCGCCCAAGTTATCCATCAGACTACCGCCGCTTGACGAACCAGGCCGGCCTTGGTGACTGCCATACTGGGAGCCCCCGTAGCTGCCATGTCCGGAGGAACCATCCTTGTGCTTGTGCTTTTTGACGGCGTCTTCCAGGACGGATCCCATGATGGCGCCTCCGATGGTACCAAGAATACCGTGGTCAGCTTTGTGGCCTGCGAATCCACCCGCAAGACCGCCCGCGAGAGCACCGCCGAGTCCTCGTTCACCCTCTTGGGCTCCACCGGGTGCGTTCTGGTCATTGTAGCTAGAGAGAGAAAAATGTCAGCTGATGTTACCGGAAGTTTATGTACGTGAGAAGAGAGTGGTGTGGCAGGTGACATACCCAGGCTGCCCGTATGACCCCTGGCCTTGGTGTTGTTGACCGTGGTGCTCGTGTTGGCCGTGTTGGCCGTACTGGCTCTGCTGGTGCTGGCCGTACTGATCCTGGTTGTAATCGCGCTGCTGGTTGTAGTAGTCACCAGAGCCTCCGTATTGACCGTGTTGCTGACCATGCTGTTGGCCATACTCTTGGCCGTATTGCTGGTTAGAGTAAGGCTGCTGTCCGTAGCCGCCTTGGGGGTATCCTCCCTGCTGGTATTGACCCTGGCCCTGGCCGTAGCCTTGCTGGGAGTATTGATCGTAAGGACCGGACATTGTGTTGGGAGTGTGTTGGAGTAATAGAAGATGGGTAAGACGGAACTCTCAAGAGGAGACGATGAGTGATTGACTCAAGAATGATGAAGCAGAGGTAAAGTTCAAGGGCGCCCCTCTTGTCTTTTATATCTACTACCTGGTAACTAACAGTTTGGTACATGTAGGGCTGAATCGATTGCTGACGGGATGGAACCCCACATTCAGTCATTTAGTCGCGCCCAGTGCGATGAGACCACCGCTAGGTGCGTATGGGACAATACATTATTCTGTCGGATGCTATCACTGTACCGTCATCGATGGGGCGCTTACTGACGACTCTCATTGGTATGTGGATACTTCATATTGTGGCTTATCCATTTCATAGCCATACATTTCGGCTCCAGGATCCATATTTCCAAATAAATACCTCCGCCACACCGCATTATGGTCGGCGAAAGTAGCGGGGTGGCTGTGGCCTTCCAGAAGCCCAGGGCTGAGTTCGACGACAATACGCAAAGTTGTACGTGCTATTACGCAGGACATGCCCCGCCAGATCTTCTGGGCTTTACTCGTTTAGGTAAATTTTGGTCAGACGGATCCTAGATGGCTCCAAATATTATCAGCGACTGCATTCTTGGCTCCAGATATCGACCAAGGCACTTGAAATTTCGAAGTAAAGAAACCCCTCAATTTCTAGTTGCCTAAATCCCGGCAAGCTGAACCGCTGTTTGTTATCAGATTACCATAAAAATACAGAATATAGAGCCACCTGTGGCTGGGTCGCGTGGCTGTGCAATGGCAACAATGTATCTTCCTATCTTCCTCATTATTGTCCATTCCGTTAGAAACTGAGGAGTGTTTCCCTGACATTTCTGATTCCATAATATTATTGTTCTTGCAAAGCTATATTTAGGGATTGCGATATTTTCATTGTATCCATTGGGACATATCCGAGACTGCCGACTTCCGTAAGATACCTATCTGGGATACTTCACCTTACTGTAGCAGCCCCTCCAATCATACAACTGCCTTACCTCATGTTAATTCCACTCAACAGGCAGCCATATTATTCGCATCTCCATTGACTACCTACCTACGGCACAGAGCTAAGTCCTTTGGCGTCGCGGGTATGGAAATAACAGCGCAATCAAAACGTGACGAGTTTCGGATTGACCGTAATACCGGCTCGTCGGCTCAATGGGCTAAGCTCTTGATTGTCAGAGTTTGGACATTCTGTGAGCAAGGCTACGAAGGAACTCCAAATCGCGGCTGCAAGACCTGAGCAACCACCTACTCGGTACTTGATGTCTTACATGCTTATATGCTACTGTTCCCTGTATCCAAGTCCAAGCTGACTGGAGGAAAGGCATGCTACTCCTCTTATTATATACGTCGTTTATCCCACTAGATATGCCACGATTAACCCCGTAGCTTGTATCTTCTTGACCATCATTCAACACTGAAAGACTCAATGTCTACTTAGCCAAGGGACTGATCTCCGACGGATCTACAATCAATTAGCTCAATAGTTCATGCAGGGTGTGATGTAGGATGAAAATGTCGCAAAGAGTCATGCTCAAGGCCTATCAGTTGCAGATGATCACTCTCAGAAGAAAATAAACATGTGTCAGCAAGCAAACCCGTCTTTGTTGAGAAAGACGCAAGATTAGTTCATGATCATTACTTTTTTCACGAGGACAATCAAATAATGGCCGAGTCGCACAAAGACCTAGTCACATAAACTTCTTCAACCAACTAACAGTTGAAAAAGGCACCTGGTCTACCTCTCGCCTTTTCGCTCAGTCCAATCGAGACACGGCCTCCTCAATGATGAGCCTGAGACGGTTAGCAGAAGACATTGCATTGGACGGGTCATGCCTCTGCAGCTCGATTTTTGATCGACTTCGCAATGTTACGCAAGCCACCGCTTGATCTTGCTTTCACTAGTGGAGTGGTACGCATCGTGCATACGGTCAAGCATGCTTTCAGGGGAGACCGTGATGGAGCACCTATAAGGAGTTGTCTACATTTTCACGTCCATCTAAGCAGCGCATTTTCATAGAGAACATTTGCCCAGAGCGGATATTGGTCATAATGTATCATGGTTGCTTCCTCACCTTGCTACTTGCATCCCTCCTGATCACCTCAACAGCGGCAGACTAACCAACAGTTTACATCATCCGTCATGGCGAGAAATCCCGCAACCCCGAGGACTCCGGCTTGAACGCCGACGGCTCCAAGCGAGCCCAATGCCTCCGAGACGTGTTCGGTGTCAACTCACCATATGACATCGGCTATATCGTCGCCCCGAGGCCAAACAGATGTATGCCATAGTCTCTACAGGTTTCCCTTACGGCTCAGTCATATCATGTCGATGTAACTCCTTACTCTTCGCTTAGATGGTCAACACAGACGCTCATTCGAGACCGTCCTCCCGCTCGCCATCGGCTTAGGTCTTGCAGTTGATCTCTCATGCAAACGAAATAAGTCAGATGCGTAGCAAAACTCGTGAGGAACTTCAGTGGGCCGGGAAATATTTCGATTTCCTGGCGACACGGGAAAATGAAAGAAACCGTGCAGGAACTGGGCTCTGACCATGTCCCAGAATATCCAGAGGACCGGTGAGTCGTGCCAGGCTATGCCGGGCCTGAATCGTTGCTGATTCCGAACAGCTTCGATTTGATCTGGACTGTTCCGTTTCCTTATGACCATATCACGGATTTCAGGAGCGAAGGATGTCCTGGTCTCGATACTCGGTCATTACTCCAGGTCCAAGGCTGACGAGAGAGAGATCCACTTGGTTGGAGCAGCATCAAGACGATGTCCGATTTCGTCTCGGTAGGACTTTCTTTGGCGTTTTTGTTCATGGCTCAATAAATATAGATATAGCGAAGGAGTACTTTGCACTTCTGTATTCATATCTCATTCCCCTGGTGCCATGTGGTTAGATGGGCAAGCTACGCATAGTGCTTACGCAGGGCAGATGATACCGACCTATTTCTAAGTACCCTTTTAAGAAGGTGTCTTTCCCTCACACCTTATATGTTCCAAATCCCTGTCAGTCATTCAGTTGAACTAAAACAAGTCATTCCATTCAAGCGTAGAGCGATAAAGGAGCAGCTATAACTAAACACATCAACGCGAGACAGCATTCCCAGTCGCTCAGAACAATAGCTTCTGCTCATTTATATGGTCTACGTAGTGTCAACACTTTCAACACCTATGTCAACACTGTCCTCCAATTATGATAATCCTCATACATCTCAATGTGGATAGTGAATCTACTGTGCGGGCGGTGAACCAATCATTCCAATCAGTCCAGCCGAGCGGAGAAACTGAATGCCAAGATTTCAACACCCACCTAAATTTTTCGAGGTATCGCAGCTTTCGCTAACGACTTTGACCGACCGCTTCTGGACAACCAGCAGGACAAAGCAACGTCCGGATATTGCAACGAGATCGATCGTTTCTATAATTGGATAGTCTGCGGTCTGGTTATCGAAGTCAGAATGGATGACATCGAGGTATGTGGTTCCTGAAGCCTCGTAAGCCCCGCGCTCACGACGCTTGGGAAACTGACAACCTTTTCTATCAGGAACGGTTGCGGAGCCATGCTCAGGCCTTCGACGGCCTTCTGTCTTTGATTCCTGCGAAGTACTATTATGGTGAAGATGGCAGCGTACGTGAACACCATGTTTAATCCCATGCTCTGCACCCAGAGGAAAGAACCTTGATTCTTTCTCTCCATTTTGGGTTGAATACGTCCCGGCCGTGGTTGACCAAATTCCTCCTATAGGACCAATGGAAGCGCAAGAAGCAGACCAAGGAGCAAGCTCGCGAAGCCAAACGTGCGAAATTGGATCCCGATTCTGCCAAAACGGCCAAGGACGTGATGGACGAAAATGCTCGGAAGCGTAAGCGTGACGAGGAGGAGCAGAATGGGTCCGAGTCATCCGAAGAAGAAGAGCTGGGCTCTGAACTTCCCAAGGAAGGCATGAAGAGAGGTGATGTCAAATCGAAAAAGCAGAAGCAGGCCGCTGCAGAGCAATCGGATGATACGGCAGCCAAATTGGAGGAAGCCGAAGCGCGCAAGAAGTTAAAAGAGGAGAAGAAAGCACAGAAAAAAGCCGCTCAGAAAGAGAAGAAGAAGGCCAAGGAAGCTTCCAAGAAAGACAAAAAAAGTGAAAACTCGGAGTCGAAGCCCGCGAGCGATAAGGGAGAAGAGCAGAAGCCCTCCAAGGTAGAAGACAGCGATGATGAGATTGAGCAAGAAGGTGCTGTCCCTGAGGAAGGCCTCTCCCTCGAATTCAACCCCGAGCCCGCAGAACAGTCATCGTCTCCGTCCTCAGCACCCAACTCTCCCGGGTTTGATGCCTCAAATGACCACTCCGGCAGCTCTTCCATATCTTCCATCGCCCCCCCTACTGCTTCCACCGACGCCAACGACGCCTCCCAAAAATCATCATCTGAACCCAAGCCTCTCAAGCCTACCCCAGAAGAGTTAAAACAGCGCTTACAGAAGCGCTTGGACGAGCTGCGTGCCGCCCGGCATGCCGACGGATTCGACGGCAAGCCCGCCCGAAACCGCCAGGAGCTGATCGAGGCTCGCCGGCAAAAAGCCGAACAGCGCAAGGCACACAAGAAACTACTGCGACAGAAGGCCAGGGAAGAAGAGCAGCGCGCCAAAGACGAGGCTATGGCCAAACGCTTCTCCCCCGGTGGCTCCGGCTCGCTTCTTGCATCGCCGCGGTCACCCGCCGACTCGATCGGCTCGAACGTCAACTTCTCATTCGGCCGGGTGGTGTTCGCCGACGGCCAGCAGGCCGATCCCAGTCTGATGAACGTACGGGAACAGCCAAAGCGCCATGGGCCCCAGGACCCCGCTACGGCGCTCAAGGCCGCAGAGGCAAAGAAGGCCCGCCTGGCCGAGATGGACGAGGAGAAACGTGCGGATATCGAACAGAAGGACATGTGGCTGAATGCCAAGAAGCGGGCGCACGGGGAAAAGGTCCGGGATGACACCTCGCTCCTCAAGAAGGCGCTGAAGCGCAGGGAGTCCGCGAAGAAGAAGTCTGAGCGGGAATGGAAGGAGCGTCTTGAAGCCGTCAAGAAGGGCAAGGACGCGCGTCAGCAGAAGCGCGAGGAGAACCTCCGCAAACGACGCGAGGAGAAGGGCAACAAGGGCAAGAAACCTGCCGCAGGCAAGAAGAAGGCCAGACCTGGATTTGAGGGAAGCTTCAAAGCCAAGGTGGGTGGAAAGAAATGAAGGAAAAGCATCCACGGTGATGGCCCCAGTGCTGTGTGTATCTCTGGCAGACAACCCTGTCAAAAAGTAAGGGAAGGAAACTGAGTGTGGGTTCTGGAGAACTGGTGTTTGGGGTCTTTTGGGAAATGCTCTCTTTTCATGTTGTGCATGTATGCATAGGCAGCGATTTGTGCGTGCAAATATCAGGACTTTTTTTGTCTTTTCGTTTATTGTCCTACATTGATGGAGCATATATAGTTAATGCCTTCGGATGACTACTGCTATTGAGGAAGACTAGAAGACCCCATGCAGCACAGGCTGGACAGATACCATGTTGATACAAATGAAAAGTGAATTGTTTGATTGACTCGTTAGCAGAACAGTAGAACAGTAGAAAATAAACAAAGACAAACCAGGATTTCCTCTGACATCGCGACAAAGACAAAAACAGGAACGCCAGATTTTGGCGACTCGAAAACCCCTTTCAGCCTGAACTGTATATGCGGCATAACGCAGGCGGAGGATTCGTTATGTACAAGGCGGAGAGGCAAAAGTTAGACTTCCACGAAGGAGTCGGTACCTATGCCATCTCGAATAGATGGAAACTCTTTTTTTCCCGTCACTCTAATTTTGTGATTTTCTGATCTCTCGGCAAGGATCGCTAGAGTACAACAGCCAAGCGTAGAAAGGTGCTCATGAATAAAAAGAAGAAATCGACCGCGCCCTACCGGTAGGGGGCATCGGCTCTAGCGGCTGCGGCAATCTCAGGCTCCCACTTGTCACCGTTGGCCAGAAGCTTCTCCTTGTTGTACAGCAACTCTTCTCGGGTCTCAGTAGCGTATTCCGCGTTGGAAGCTGCGCGTATCCTGTCAGCTGTGGGGTCACACTAATCAATCTGTCGGGTTAACTTACTCTCGACAATAGCATCAACAGGGCAACTCTCCTGGCAGTAACCGCAGTAGATGCACTTGGTCATATCAATGTCATATCTGGTTGTCCGACGGCTTCCGTCTTCACGTTCCTCGGCCTCGATGGTAATAGCCTGAGCGGGGCAAATGGCCTCGCAAAGCTTGCAAGCGATGCAACGCTCCTCACCAGTGGGATAGCGGCGCAGAGCATGTTCGCCACGGAAACGGGGGGAGATGGGACCCTTCTCGAAGGGGTAGAAGATAGTGTAACTATAATTTAGAAAATTGGTCTTAGCCTGATGATTCCCCCCAAATGCATATAAAGAACCAAGATGTACAGCCAGAATCATGGAAAACCCGATTCTGAGACTGTACCAGAAACTGAAGATGCGAAAGTGCCAGGAAAACTTACGGTGGTCTGAAAAACTGCTCCAGAACCACGTACATGCCCCGGAACAATTCAGCCATAAGGAAGTACTTGCTGGCCTTGTCTAGCGAAGACTCGGGATCCTGGTCCCATTTCCTCGGCGCAGGTAAACGGAATCCAGGCTGAGGAGGACCAACTGGTGTAGCAGCTCTCGACACCGAGGAGGAGAAGTTTGCGGTTGAACCCAAGGGCGAAAGACGGAGAGAAGAGGCCCACAGGTAGGGAGTAGGGCGACGGTAGGCGACCAGCCTCGCAACAGATGTCGAGGAGGCCATTGCGACTGTTGTAGAGAAGCAGAATAGAGAGGAGAGGAAAGATGGCCAGCAGACGAGGAGAGTGAGGAGAGCGAGGGCCCAGTTGAGGGGTGGAGAGGGTTCAATGGCAGCAAGATATGAGGTTCCGACTGTCTTTTGCTGGTTTGGAGCAAGTTAGCAATGGTACTGCTTAGGTCATTCCTTTCTGCCGCCCGCTGATTGGTCGCCGGCAGGATTTTGCTTCCCGAGCCGCAAGCGCAAAGCAAAAGATGGAAACCTCCATCTCTTGTGTCAATCAAGTTCCCTGGGTATCTATCAATTCTCCCTGACGAACTCGTCTCCTCCATTTCTTGTTCTATATTCTCTTGTTTGAATAATCTATCTCTCAGTCGGGTCTTACTTCGTCAGGCAATTTGCCCCTCTCACCCACCATTAACACAGTCACCATGTTCCGTTCCGCTGTCGTCCGCTCGCTGAGAGCCTCCGTTCCCCGTGCCGTCAGGACTCCTGCTGCCTTCCAGAACCGTAGCTCTCCTGTTGCTCGTCCTGCTCAATTCGCCCCTCGCTTTGCTTACCAGGGTGTCCGCCTCTACTCCGCCCCCGCCGGTCTGAACAAGGAGGAGGTCGAGGGCCGGATAGTCAACCTCTTGAAGAACTTTGACAAGGTTCGTTCATTCGACTACTTTTTGTCTCGCTCCCAGTGGTCTATCGACCCAGATAGCAAATAAATTACCGAAACTATTGTTTGAGTATAGAATTACTGACGCGATTGATGGTGTATAGGTTTCCGATGCCAGCAAGGTTCGTGGTCACCGTTTGTGCCAGCTGATGCTATGGGCCGGCTACCCCTTCGAGCTTCAAACTTTGAAGGGAGCAAATATTGGTCATGTGGGCGAAGTTTAACGTGAACAGATCAACGGCTCTTCCCACTTCTCGAACGACCTCGGTCTGGATTCCCTGGATACTGTTGAGGTTGTGATGGCTATTGAGGAGGTATGGTTTAGCGGGCGATTTTCCAGAAGAGCATTCTATTAACGAGTCTGTCAACAGGAGTTCAGCATTGAGATCCCCGACAAGGAGGCCGACACTATCCACAGTGGTAAGTACACTCGGACAGTGCCTAGCGAATCGCTCATCAAAGTTCATCTACTTATTCTTTCAACAGTTGACAAGGCTGTTGAGTACATCCTTGCCCAGCCTGATGGTAAGTTTTATCTAATGCGAAAACAAGGATCCTGGAGATCGATGCTAATGATGATTAGCCCACTAAACACTTGTTACGGTTCGGGAATAGGTTGGAGGGTCTGATAGAAAAAGAAAAGGGATGTGAGCGTGCATCTGCCACAAAATCCTAGAGTTGGAGTTCCCCTGGCCGTTGTGGACGCTGCTTTGTATGCTGATACATGCCGGTGCTTTTTCGCCCTACTATATCGTGTATATCACATTTGAATGCTATTTTTGACCAGTCTACTGCTGTCCGTAGATAAGGAAGGCGTCTGAGAAGATGGCCGTTCCCTTCATACATCGTTAAGGCTGGAGTACTCTGTTGACTTCAGCGTTACTATCTGTCCGTCTCACTAATCGGATGACGTGTACCTGTTAGGAAGTGGCATGGCGTCTGTACGGAATAGGATGCATGATTTGCGTCTCACGGGGCCAACTAGACAAATTCTCCATCCAAGGGTTAACTGGGTTCGCATAGTGAATTATGATAAGTCAATCGAAACCATGCCAGTTATTGTTGAGGTTCAAGGCCAGATGTATCATGGTGCGGCTCTCATCCGTAACCGGCGAAGCGCTAACAAACCACCAGAAGTTAGTGAGAAAGATTAAAGAAATGTTCTTTGAGACGACCATGAACTTTTAAATTATTATCGTTAAGCACAGGAACTTCAATTCTCTGTTTCCTTGAGTATCTACACATCAAAATTGATTTCGGTCACTTGGTATACCTCCTAGTCATACTCTGGCTCTTACCTGTGATTTTCTTCTCCTCTTGTCTTCCGTAGTCTCTTTCATCTGTCACTCTCCTTGTGCTCTGCGCTCCACCGCCCCTGACAATTAATTTCCACCCAGGAATCAGTGAGATAAACGCCAGATTCCTCTTCTTGATTCTTTTTTTCATTAGTTTCTGGTCTGCTCCGAATCCAACCTAGAAGCATCACTATATACGCCCCACGGTCGAGTCCCCATCATCACCAGTTGCTCAACCAGTTCCCCGCTTTCAGTCCTCCGTCCTACATCCCGACATCCTCATGGCCTCAGCCGGGGGCTTGACTCGCCGGAGAGGTGGCGGTCGAGTCGCTGGCGGAGATGACAACGATGATAGCAGAGTGTCCTCTCCGGTATCTAGAAATGGCTCCGCACTTGACCACCGCGGACCCGAGGCCTCATTCACAAGCTCTGAGAATGGCCACAAGATCGCTTTCGATCCCCGGGATCTGAGTGAGACCGAAGAGCGAAGCAAGCAGCCCAAACTGACCCTGATGGAGGAAGTGCTGCTGCTGGGGTTGAAGGATAAACAGGTCAGTGCTGGATTGGAAACATTGCCGCGAGCTAAATGAGCCGCCTGTGCGCATGGACAAGGCAATGCTGACATGGGTCTATTCTGTAGGGATACCTTTCATTCTGGAACGAAAATATTTCCTATGCTCTTCGAGGTTGCATTGTCATCGAGTTGGCTCTCCGCGGTCGCATCAGCATGCAAAAGGACTCCTCCCGGCGACGGTTCCCTCTCGCAGATCGCGTAATCGAAGTCATCGACGATACATTGACGGGTGAGGTCTTGCTGGACGAGGCATTGAAGATGATGAAGTCGAGTGAGAAGATGAGCGTGAATTCGTGGATTGACTTGATGAGCGGTGCGTGCAAAGACTCTGGCCACTGAAATTCTGACGGTTTACAAAAAGAAGACATGCAGCTAATGCTTCTGTCTAGGTGAAACGTGGAACTTGATGAAGATTGGGTATCAACTCAAACAGGTCCGCGAACGTCTTGCCAAGGGTCTCGTCGACAAAGGCATTCTCCGTACCGAAAAACGTAACTTCCTCCTCTTTGACATGGCCACACACCCAGTCGCCGACGGAGGCGCCAAAGATGATCTTCATCGCCGTGTCCGCAACATCTGTAGCAGTCGCACTGTGATCCTTCCGGCCAACCAATGGCTCCCTGAAGATGCTGAGTTCCGGTATCTTCGAACTGTTGCCATGGTATGCGCGGCCTATGCGGCCAACGTTTTGGAGAATGCACTTGTTACAATGAGCCACGAGGCGAGAGAGCGGGCTTTTGCGCAGGTTGATGAGTTGCTCGCAGAATATTCCCAGTGGCCATTCGCTCGGAGACCGGGTGGTGGACAGGCGATTGGTGCCAACCTGGCACAGGCCATCAACGAGGAGGTCAATAAAGCTAAGGATCGAGAACTTCAGTTGGAGGTATGTTTCGTCGCTCTCTATTTACGGTGTTACAGAAGCTGATGTGCAAACCTCTACAGATTGTCGCAGCATGTTTGAGCGTTTTTACCAGACTTGATTCCTTACTGTAGCAGTAACTGTCCTGCTATCTTTTGTTATACCGGTATGCAGGTTTTCAACCGCTATCAATCTAATTTTTTCTGTCTTCGCTTCTGTCTTTCCCATTCAAGTCTTCCACCGGTGTCTCACAGAACATAGCACGCAGAGAGACTTGTGGATCGATCTCATGTATTTTTCTTCTTTTTAAGCATGCGGGTTGAGACCGGACGGTGATGCTGTTCTTTTCGTTTCCTTGAACGATTATCCGTCGGCTCTTTCGAATTCCAAAACTTTTCATCTCTCCGGAGCTTCTTGTACCTGCTTTTCTTCTCTTTCTGTTCGTGTCTCTCTCGGGAACGAGGCGGGCAGGGGCTGTCTTGCGGCGGCAGGACAGAGCATCACCGTTCACAATAACCGAATCTATGGATCATGCGCAGGCGATCGATAGGACTGGGGCTGTCTCAATAGTTCGAGCGGTGAAGCCTCAACGCGCTTCAGCACTCAGGACTCCACAAATGGAAACAGCTGGGAGTGCGCATGTCCATATCTCTCGGCTTTGGGTGCTTCGTCGCCCTGTGAATCTTTCTCTCAGGCCAAGCCGATGAGGACCTACTTCACCTACTTTCAAAACTGTGTGTTTATCTTAAAACTACCATACTCGATTCCAAATCTTCCGATTATTGTTGAGCACCGAGTACCCTTCTTGTTCAGCTAGGTGTCATAGATTGACGCAAGCTCCATTATAGTACCTGAAATATAAGGCTCAAAATTAAAATGACATGCTCGTACGCTCCAATGCAAATCGTGTCCTTACCCCGTATACTGACCCAATTCAAATGGCAACAGAAACGAAAAACCCGTGGCCGGAGTATGCAAATGACTATACACCGTCTATGGGTTGACTCGGATCACCATCATGCCTCCTCGCCTCCCTCCCCCGGCGCCCGCAGCGCCCGCAGCTAGTATATCTGCGCCGTTGACCAGATCCGTGATGCTCTCCACCCGTCCGCGGACGCTATTTTCCTCAACTAACGTTGCAATATGCGCGAGCGCCTTCCCATCTGGCTCGACAGAGATGAACCGGCTCAAGGGGCCCTTCTTCTTCGAGCCGCTACCCGTCTGCGTATCTTCCTCGGTCCGTCCGTTCTGAGCCGGGGTGGAGTCGACGGCGGTCAGCACGGCGCCATCTTCCTTGACGACTGCTGGCGAGTGGGCTTGCTGGAACATGTCTTCACCCGCGCAGTCGATGACGATATCCACGGGCTCCCACTGCCTCTGCTTGAACGTTGTGGCCAGGTCCCAGTCGGCCGGCAACGGGAGGGCAGCGACGATGTACTCGTCCACCTGGAATTGGTCGCGGAGAGTTGCCCCCTGTTCTTCGTTGTCGCAGGTTGCGCAGATCCACGGGCGATAGTGCGAGAACAAGGACGGGGCCCGCAGCAGCTGAAGCGCCTGGATTCCGACCTCGCTGTTGCGGGCGTTTGTGACGAGCACGCGCAGGTCACCACGGACATGGTCCGTGTCGGCGGGGTTCAGTTTGCAGTAGGTGAAGAGGGCTTGCCATGCGGTGAGGGCGGGTAAGGGGATTGTCGCTGCCTCGGCGGCGCTGATGTTCCTGGGCTTGAATGCGAGCTCGTTGTCCGTTGCGAGGACGTAATCGGCTGCGGCGCCGTCACGGCTGTGACTGATCAGACCGAAGACGGCGTCCTCGACTTTGAACTTGGGGCCGGATTGGCGCCAGTGATCTTCATCGGGCGTGCTGATGACGGTGCCGCAGAAGTTGTGGAGGGGAATCTTGGGCATGGATATCCTCGGGTTGAGCACGTTCGCCAGTCGCAGCTCGTCATGCGAGAAGGCGGCCGTATGGACTTTGATGAGATATTGGGTCGGTGACGGCATGGGCGTGGGGAAGTCGGTATCGAAGATCAGGCCTGGCTCGGGGGAATCCACGGCTTTCACATCATGGCTGTGGTTGTCGCCCAGGCTGTAGTAAAGGGCTCTCATCGTACTCGGGACGAATGTTTGTTCATCCATATTAGCTTGCGCTGGCTTTGCTGGCTTCATGGTGAAAAGTATTCAGTATTTAGGCAAGGGTTCCGTTGAGTTCAAAATAACCATTCATTTATTGTATCTCTTGTCAGTATAGAAAAGACTTCCTCTTGGTCAATTGAGAGCGCGAGGCAGTTGTAGGTGTTGGGGTTTCGCAGGGACTTGCAACACAGGCAGCTCTGGTAAATTCTGAAATCACGTCAAAAAACGAACGCCCTGTAAAGGGCGATGGCTTACAGCAGAAAATTTGACTTTTGATAAGCAGAAAACGATAATCTGCTGGCAGCGCTGCGGGAGCGAGACTGCATCGGACTGTATACTTCGATGATGCGGATGCCCTCATGTTGACGTAACTGTGCTTATATCAGCATCTCTACCAGCAGTTATCGGATAACTTTTTGCCATACGTCGTACTAGGGTGATAGAAGAGCCTGAGTATCATCCGTGGATTCTGCAAACAATATTGTGGATGGGTTCTGGTGCACCAATCGCGCAGCTGTTCCTTCTCTACCGCGAGCAACCTATAGTATCGGTTGCGAAAATCGGTCCACAACATGATATACTTCTTCAGGCTCTTCGAATACTGTCCATACACTTTCCGGGACCCCTTTGAAAGCGGTCTTGAATCGCTCCGGAGAATTCTTCACTTCCAAGTGTGGGACATCTGTGACCTTACGGATCAGAATCGCCTTCACCCAGGTCGGGTGCCGTC